TGATAAATACAAACTGAATGACAATTTGCCTGAGCGAATAGATTTGAGATTCTCGTACTGTGGATCTGGGCTTTTTACCTGGTCCTGCCCAAAGTTAACGATCTGCGGCAAGGCCAGAGCTTTCTAGAGCAAGGAGACCCTGAGCAGTAAGCTAAACTTTGAAAAATCTGAGAAGTAACTCTGAAAAGAAGAGACGACTCAGATGAAACGGAACTTGGTTGTAATTCCTCTAATTCGCCTGGTTCACAAGGGCTCTGTTCCCTTCTGAAAAGTTGCCAAACGGGCAACACTCCATTCTGACAAAAATTAACAGGCTCACTAATTTGTTAAACCATATATTAGCCAATAAATCCATTACTCGTTGTCACAGGTTCGCAAGAAGCTATAACAAAGTATATCAGTTAATAGGTCAGGGAAAAAATGCTGTTGGCTGGACCACATTTCTGAGCTCTCTGGCAGGTAAAGGGAGCTCTGACCACAAGGAGAGGCTGCTCAGCTAATCAAACACAGTTTACATTAAAATAAATTGCATAGAAAGGGGAGATAATTCTCATCCCCATTCCTAGCCCACTTTGTCCTAATTTTGCCCATTTTAAGGTCACAATTCTCTTTTCCCTTCAGAAAGTACACATGCATCTTAGTGTTCCTGTGCATCACAACTTTCTCTCCCCCGTCTCTTTCTATTTCTGCTGGTTTAAGGGGGAAGGAGATTCCCTACCACCATCTCACCAAACTGGTCACTGGCAAGACTCTGGAGATAGCAAGCACATTCTATTTAAAAAAAAAAAAAAAAAAGCCAAAAAACTTTTGTAACTTTCCTGCAGTCTACTCTGAGAATATCAATAGTGCTTATGAATGGAAGTGTCCCCATTTCCCAAAGGGTAGGGCATAAAAGGACATTTCCTGCTGCCTTTTGTGCTTTTGTTTTGCTGCTCATGTCAAGGACACAACATGGGAAAGGGAGGAGTAGACAGGATATGCTATATGAGCCCTGTTAATTTAACTTAGCATTTTCCAGTAGGAAACCATGACAGGGAGGGGAGTCTCTCACAGGAAGCTTTCCATAGTGAGAGTCACAAGCTTGCTCCTGAACCTTTCCAAACGTGCTGCTGTGATTACCTCCTAACCCACAATAACCTCTGGTTACCACCTTAACTGGCTTCTCTTAAGAGTTCCCCCTCTAATGCTTCACGAATAAACATTAATTCTGTTTTGTCCTAACATAAGTAAATTCTTTAGCACAGCAGCTGTTTCCCGTCAAACCAATTGAAAACATGAATTTATCATTATAAACAAAGACAAATGTAAGTTAATCCAAAGTAAAACAGAGAACTAAAAGCACACATTTGCATCATTCACTATACTTACCATATATAAACTATAGTAAGTACAGCTTTTAAATACATCATTTATTTCTACATCTCATTGCGGAAACTCAGGCCAACCAGCTGCTTGTACCAAAATACCCATTACTCCTCACTTTCAGGAGGAAGATGCCAACATCGACGCAATGCTGCTCGAGTGCTTTAGTTTTGCCATACCTAACATCTGGGCAGAAAGCTCTACAGAGGTTTTTGCTGTCCATCTTGTTTTGTTTTTACAGAAGTGCTTTATAACCATCTATTTATTAAAGCCACACACCACAATCAAGGAAAACTGTTACTTTCTAATTTCTTGAGATGGGAAAGTGCTTTTTCATAGGATTTTTCTTCTTAATGGATGTCAGCCAAGAACCACACTTCCAGTAGGACTTCTTAGTTTTTCTGCATAGTTCTTAGCACTGCAGCAGCTTCTGTCCTTGCTTTAACAGCCTGCCTACCAAAAGAACAAGCAAGATAAAAATTACTTATCTTTCCAGGAATCACATTTGAGGGATAAGGATCACAGAGATTACCCTATTAGCACTGCCTCAAAAAAGCTTAGCATATGCTATGAGTTTAGAAGAAAAAACTCTGAAAGCCCAATACAGAGCAGTAGAGAAATTTCCAGAGATGATGTACACACATGCAATTGTGCACACTATTTCAGAGATCGAGTCCTGAATTTCTATAAAGGTAGCAAATATCTTATTGACAAAATTGTCTTACAAGAAAGTCAGCAAATTTATTTTTCCTCTTAAATTCACATAGACTAAACTCTCCACTGCTATTTTATTATTACTTTAACCTAATTTTATATATATACACACACACATGGAACAAAAAAGGAAGTTAATGATAACAGCATGACCTCCTGTCAGATTTTGCCATGAGTTCTCACACACTTGTAACACTCACTCCATGGCCATAGACACACGAGTAGCAATCTTCCACCTTTTCCCATACCTCAGTCACACTGAGGCTTCTCACTCTGACACTAGCAGGGTAGAAGCAAAAATATACAGTCTGGAAAGGATGTTATTTCTGCCAGAAGGTACTAGTTGTGTAACACTGATACAGGAAATGGATTGTTTTCTAATAATCCCAACAATTTCTATTAGGTTTATGAGAGCGTTTTCATTTTCAGGATACACACACTTCGGCTTCATATCCTTAAAATACCTTTTTAGTTTTTATAAAAACCACCTCAATTTTTCTACACCTCCTTGGCTTAAGGGCATGCTTCTAAGCAAACACACCTAGCTTTATCATCCAAAAGAGGCAGCACATCTCTTTCCCCACCTTAAAGACAAGTCTTAAAGCTCAAGACACCAAAATCTTTTAGTCTTAGTCACGGTATGATATTAGCCAGTGAAGCAGGTAGTAGACGGTTGCTGAGGCTCTATAGATACCTATATAAAACCTACATAGATACCTATATAAAACCTTTCTCCACCTTATAGTTCATGCAGGCCTGAAAAACTATTTAACATAATAGTGCAGCTGAAGTAATGGGTACTTTAAAGTGTCACTGGTGAGCACCTTGATAACAGAGCAACAATTGAGATTTCAGTAGTCCAAAGGACTAAAAAGCCTATGCAAGATACTTGTGGCTCTGTACAGAGAGGACAAGAAGAAAGGAAGCACGAACTCGATATACGGTGCTGCAAAGGGCTGGCATGTCAGAGACTACTTAACTCAAAAAAAAAAATCAATTCAAAAGGAAAAAAAAAAATCACTTAAAACTGAAAAAGAACATACAGTAGAAAGCACAGGATACAAGCTGTAGTGAAGTTGGCTAAGAGGGGAGCGTGCTGCAGCTTTGTAGTTTGCTTCTTGTCTATCAGTATATCACACTAAGCTCGCTAGCTGCCTGATTGCCACATACCTAAGCAGCAAGTCCAGTGACAAGAGACTATTTACCTGAGAAAGAACGTGTCAGAGCATGGAGAGAGCAACTGCTGGACTTCACTTCCTCATAACTCCCAATTCTGCAGGCCTCTCCCTTAGCTCTCATACCAAAGCTGTTCAAATCCAACACTCCTATCCAATCACTGGAAGCTTGCTTTTCTAGTAACAGGCATTTCTATATAAGAAAATACTTTTTCCATCCAGCACTTCGCAAAATGACTACTTTTGTATTCACATATGTCATATGCGACGTACCTCTTACTACTGTCTCCAGATACCCTTAAGTCTTTTCATCATCCTCTTGCCTGGTTCTTCCCTTGTAGCCTCAGCAGCTAAGGAAATCTGTTCCTCTCATTACTCCCATGAATAAAGCTCACTCTTCTATTTTGTAATTTAAAAATGCTCGATAAAATTAACAACAACAGACCAACAGGACACAATACAGCATCAATCATCCAACCATTCCTACAACTGCAGCTGCCATAACTTAACAGTGAAATGCCATATAAGCAACTTGTTTCCACTTTGGTTTGAAATAAATCACTAATTGTCAGAGGGAATATTTTGCCATGCAGCACATCTGCTTATACACATTTCATGAGATTCTGCAATATATACTTGATACCTTTGCAAATCAATTTTGACCTATTAAAGAGCTAGCAGACTTGCCACCATTAAAGCCTCATACAGTAACCTTGTCTGGTCCTTTAAAATAAGGATGCTCATATCACATAGGAACTTGTGCAGATAAAGCTTTTCTAAATATACTCTTAACTTCACAAGTAGCTTTTTCTTCTTTAAGTGTTTTGTCCATACTACTCAAATTTGTTAAATTTAATCTTTTATAAGAGTCTTTTAGATGCTGGCAACAGAACATGGGCAAATACCATGATAACTGCCTCATGTAGGTATTAAACCCTGCCTAGAGCTCAATTCTAGACACAAAAGCAGGTTTTAAGCTTTGGCATTCTGGCCCAAGGAAGAGTCACTGGCAGTACATTGATCTCACCACAGGCATTCAGAATTCACATGCCCTTTTCCATTCTATTAGGCTACATGCTGTCAAAAGGGGTAATGTGTTAGATTTCTTGAAAGATGTTAAGCGGAGGCAGCACTTCCACTTCAAGATTTGAAACAATCTGAGATCCAGTGAATGAAAAACTATGCACTACTTGCTCTAAAAACCTCTACAAAATTTATCTATCTGTTCCCAACATTAACATAACAACAGTAGAAAAGTTTGTTTTTACCTTAACATATTTAAGACGTGTTTTTAAAGCACCTTTCATATTATTTTTATATAACTTGAGATTTTGAAGTCTGCATTTAATAGCATTACAGCACTCCACACAAAGCTATAATGATGTCTGCATGTAGCTATTGTGTTTTAATATGGTTTTATTCTAGCATAATGGATATCTAAAAGTAAAGGTATACAAGCCCTTCAATAATTATATTGGGGAAAATTCTCGACAACTGATGCTTAGAAATGTCACTTACTACAAGCTTGCTGAATTTTTCTTCAGTTTTTAATTAAAGGGGAGAATACGTTTTCTGCCTTTGTATTAGTAAAGTTTTGACTTTGTTATTGTAGTCTGCTTACAAAAACTAATATGATAAATCCCTCTTGCTAACGGCATTATTTAATCTTGATCCCCAAAAAACTAAATAACTTCTTTTGACTAAAATGACCAAGAAAAAGTTATTTATTTAGTTAAAACATTGGCTTACCGTGTAAATGCCAATTCTACAAACAGCAAATGAGAGCTGGATACATTGAGACATAGTCTAAAGAGATTAAAATAAAGACATTACCAAAAATTCAAGTCATTCTCCCATCTCTTCCCTCCTCCCCCGACCTACCCAGGAGGCACCTGATGGTATACTAACATGTTTTTGCTGTAGAACTGTACTAATCAAGGTAAGAAAAATGCCATACAAATTCATATTATTCAGATACTTACTATCTTTCATATCGAAGCAGCTGCTAGCATCACTGCACTTACTAATATATTTCCTTATAGGTCTCAAATTACTCTGTGCTCCCCAAAATGCCCATATACCACATTGACAGTTTCCATGCAGTCTTTCAGTTCCATGGTTTAAAAAAAAATCTTTTAGAGACATCCTAATAATCAAACTGATGTGCTTTATGTCTTCATAGTGGTACTTAAAGAGACTTCCATGTTTAAATATTTTGCTCCTCTCCCTACATCATTCAAATTCTTTTCCTCTGCATTGCAAAATGGTCTGTATATCTTGATACTCCTATATTTCTGAAGTCATACTTCTTGACTTCCCTGAGATTTCTCATATTTTAAACAGAGCTCTTTATCATTCTGAACAATTTAATTTAGTCTTGCAGCTGTCAATAGTATTAAAAATTTTTACCCTGAACTTGCTCAAGTTCCAATCTGTTGTGATGCCACAATTCTACGTCTTCTGGCAGTCACCCAGAGAGGCTGACGATGGACTATGAATTTCTGACAAAACAGATGAGAAAGACTTTCTTTAAACAGTATAAAGTAGTCAGAAAATAAATATAACTCCCCCCACCAAACCAGACCTTTTGTAGGCTTGCCATTTTTGACAGTCAAGCACAGCAGAACAGGCATACAGTGGACTAGGACAGGAATTGAGGGATTTTTTTTTTCACAGTTGCTTTAACATTTGCCCACGAAGTGGAACATTTTTATCATATGTTTATCAAGTTCACGCAACACCCACTCACACTTTACAAACTGAAGTGCTTGATACGACAGGTTTCAAACAGCATCCATGAAAACTTTTTTTTTTGCCTCTTTCTACTCCCACTCTACTTCCTTAGAAATTTGAAAGTGAATTATCCAGTCAATTGGAATCTAGACTTTAAAAGTTGAGAGCAGCTTTTATAGAGCATATGTTTAAAACAACAAGAAGTCTTTTGCAGTAAGTATATTCTAAACAAGAATTGTCTCACTGAATTGTACAAATATCAGAACGTATAGCACAAAAATCTGAAAGCAAACCTTAATGTGATTGATTTTCTATACTTACTGGAAGATATTACCACCAATAAGGGAATGCTGTTTTAAAATGCCATTTAAATTGCCAGCATATTTCTCTTTTGTCAGCTTTGAGAAAAAAACACCCTGTTCTATGTGTTTGTGTTCCAGCTTTCCCATAGGGAAAAAAGCTGAACTGAGAAATCTTCCATTACCCAAATTGTGGGGGTGGAGTGGAAGCATAAACTGTACCCAGACTAAACGTGACAGCATTTGTGTACCTTGTTCCAAAGGTTCCAGTGAGGAATTCCCCAAGCAATATAATTCAGTGCTTCATTATCCTGCTAGAAAATTTCCTAATGTTTAACCCGAGTCTGCTGCAATTTAAGCCCCTGCTTAAACATACTAAGACACACACACTGATTCTGCATTTTCAGGGTATTTCAGTATTTTTCAGGTAGATTCTCTAGTAATGGAAGATCAATATTATACACACAAAGTAAAAGATTATTTCTGATTACAAATAAAGAAAGTGTGCAGCAGCAGTATACCATCACAGCTTCTCAATATAGATCATAGATAGTTTTTATTCTAGCCAAGCACATGCAGTATTGTAAATTGCTTTCCTTTTTAAATTTGTTTGAGATGTTCAGGCTTTACTGGATAAATTCTATTCATAAGTGAACTCAGTAGCAGTTCAGATTCCACAGTGGATACTATGGACCATTGCAGCAGCAGAGCAAGCTGCATCGTAGTTACCTTGCTCACGCATTGATGGATTTGCTACTCTTGATGTTTTCGAGCTAACAAGCTAATAAGCTAATTACAGGCAGGAGTTATAGAATTACCTCATCTTCCTGCCATCATATACAGTGTCAGTGAATGCTTCCCCCATCCATTTCCCAATGGACACTAAGCTAACTCCACTCCCAAACCTTCAAGACAATACCTATTATCTGCAGCCTTGGGGAGGGAGAGGAAAAGCATAGCCCCCAGTATGTTCCTGGTAATTCTTGGGAAGTACCTGGAATTCATTTAAATAATTACATTATTTGAGGCTATCATACAAGCTACCACTCTTATCACATACATAGACTGGTTCTATGATTATCTACTGCTACAACAGGAAATCAAAGTCAGATTAGGAAAGTTAAGGTTAACTGCCAGGTTTCATCCAACACACTATATGGATTTTTATGAAGGCATTTATTCCTGGTATTTATAATCTTTCAATTTGCAACTCATTTTACACTACATAAGTGGGGAATAAAACAACTCTTGGAGAATGTGCATTTCATTTACTTACAGTTCAGTGTTGCTTTCTGAAATGGTTTTACATGGTAAGCATGAAAGTAAAAGAAAACATCATTTAAAAACATATCTATAAATATTATAAAGATAGATACCTTGTTTGAGCCAACTCTGCAGTGATTTATTTCTGACAAAAGCCAGTTAATAACATCGAGTGTGAAAAAAATGATGCTTCAGGTTGATAAAGTTAGATAAAATAAACATGCACCCCTGTATTGACACCCTTAGGCAAATAGTGACTTCCACCTGGAAGTTAAATTTGCAGCTAACAACTGCTACTTATCTTCCAAAAGCTTAGTTATTTTATTCATATGTTTTAAAAATATGGCTTCATAATCACTTGGAAATAAATGCCTGCGTTGCAGCTGTGCAACCTTTCCTTCCCCACAAGCATTTCTTCTGCCCATATTGCAAGCATTCCACTAGTTCTGAAAACTAGTACAAAACAAGATTCATTACAACATGTGGCAGAATAAACTCCTACAGGTCAGAAACAGGTACACATTAGCTTGCAATACACAAACTCACTGTGTTAGTAACTATCTCTATATTGAATAAATACAAAATGAAGTTCCTCTCCATAATATTTAGAAGAGAGCATATCTTGAAGAGAGCAAGTGCTGTATATTCCACTATTGAGCAATCAGAGTTAAAATCACTGGTCAAGCACTAGTCTCAAGATCCTAGACAGGCAAAGGACCCTACTGAGAAGGATCTTAATTTACTTCATTGACAGGAAACAAAAGGCTTTACATCTAACGGGGACTACAGGGACCAGTAGTCACATTTTGCTCATCAACAGGAGTGTTCATCCAGATCTCAGTTTGCTTGGCCATAACCTGAAATAACTTATGAAGCATTCAGTTCCAAGACCACAGAATGCAATGAGAATTTTTTTTTTTTACGGCCATGTTCTGCTTTATCAAAGATTGATATGTCCTCCTATAAATTTACATGAAAGATCTAGAAAAATTCTCAGAGGTCACAGGTTTTGAAGAATAATGTGTAAATGCCTGAAAGCACAGACAACTATCCTACAAGACATGAGACAAGAACTTTGATCAGAACTGCTGTTTTGAAGCCTTTGTGCTGAATTTCAAGTAACAACTTAAAAAACCCTTTCTGCATTGCATGACATAACTCTTTGACCAATTAATATCTCACTAAACTCATTAATAACACTTCTAATATAAACCCCTGCAATTCTCTACTAAAAGAGTTTTAAAAGACATACAGAAGATTTTCACATTCTCCTTTAACGCTGCCAGGTTTCATATATGTAATCATCACAAAAAGAAATAAGAGTTGAGAGACTAGCAGAAACCGGATGCTGAAGGGTAGCCAATGATATCTGAACAGGAAACACGAGTGGTTCCAAGAACTCTCCTGTCATCATAAAGATGAATCAAGTGGATGCACTAGAGAACAGCACTCCCCACTCTTTCAGCCAATATTCTCACTAGAATGGCTTCCCATGACAGTTTCCAAGACTGAAATGGTTCATATAGCAAAAGATGCAGATTGGCCAACACAAAAATTAACAGTTGCAAGAACACCACAGACATTTCTTTAAAATTCTGGACTTTTCTTGTCTTGTCAAAACCTGAATCTAAGGAAGTTTCTAGTCAAGAATAGAGCCATAGTAGAAGAGAAAACATAATTACTCTATGCTCTACACAGGCTGCCAATTCAGTTTCAGGTTCATTCAGATTTGGGGACTTTAGATGTGAAGTCACAAATCAGTTAGGGTACAAGCGCTGCAAGGCCAACAACCTCTTCACATGGCTGGGCAGCACCTCCCAGCAAGCGAAACACTTTAACTATATATCCCTGGAGCAGACCAAGTATTTTCCTAAATCCCTTTGAATACAAAGCCTCTACTCCTGCGCAGTCAATCCAAATCTGTCTACGCTGGGAAGTATTCCTGGACACCACACAGAATATTCTTTTTCTAAAACCAATATTGTATTCTGGAACCAGAATTGACTCTTCTGTCCACAAGGAAGGAGATGCTTAACAGATAATATAAGGCATCTTTCACTGATGCATCCTTCACAGGCTCCAGGAATCACAACATTAGGATCTCCACAGGGGTACGTTTCCATATGAATCTCATGTTTGGACCCTAATGGACCCGTTTTCGAAGATACTGTACAAATCTGTACTCTGCTCATTTTCGTCTCCCTAACAGTATTGCACAAAGCGGGGCAAAAGCAGTTTCTGCACAAATTCCATCAAGTTCTTTATTAGAAGAAAATCCTTCTTGCCTAGCCACTTACTCTTCATGATTTCAGACCCCTCTAACATCCCTCTCTGTGCAACATTCAGTTGGCCCCTTCAGACTAAAGGACTACTGCTAATTCATCCCTCCCTGTATGAAAGCAATTGTTTTATTTTGATTGCCATGTCATCATTCTCTACATCTTTTTCCATTTTATTATAGTCTTTATGAGATGATGTGATCAAAAATGCAACTTAAGACAAGAGCAAAGTTGGCAAAAATGTTATTTTCCTCCTCTCTTCCTAATAGGAACTAATAGCACTCTAGATGCCTCCTTGACAGCTGCCAGTGGCACAGTAAGAGTTGTTCATTCACCCTCCTGAATGCTGGCAGCATTTTATAACCTACCAACACACCTGCATACAAGATATATTGCATCTAGAAGGCATATTCCTCCTATTATACATACATATAATTTTGAACTTAATCACTGAATTTCTTCTGCCATTTATAACCAAAAACAAAAGAAGGAGTATGGATTGGTCCATGTTCAAGGTGCATTCTTAATTTCTAGCTCTGCTTCAGCCCATCCCTAGGGCATAGGGTTTACTGAACATGAGCATGAAATTCCCTTGTAATCTCTGCACTCTCCTTTCCCATCTGTCACAACAGCATTACCAGCTCTTATTTATTAAACTAAGAACTGACAGTTTACAGAAAGATTACTTCATTTTCAATTGCTTCAAATTTTTACATCCCTGTTAGAGATAAAAATGATATAATAGAAGACTCAGCAGTAGTTGGTGCAAGAAAACTAAAAAAGTAGAAAACAGATGCTTCTTTCTTGCAAAAACTCCAAGTCATAATTTTAAAAAAGAAAGAAAGAAAAAGAAAGTGCAGACTCACTTTCCCAAGGTCAAAAATTCCTCTTCTATTCTACCCTACTTCCCTTGACTCTCCAAA